TTGCATAATTTTCATTGACCAGAAGAGGGTATCTCGATCATTCACGTCTCAACGGCTCCATTGATATTTATTCTGACAAATGTGTTGATAGTTTTCGATTTTTAAGTGCACATGTTCCTGTAGCAAAATGTGTTATGGTGCCAAAATCTCATTAAAATGAGATCCAAGCACACGGGCTACTCGAAAGACGTGAAGCATCATATGCCGTAGGAATTAAAATTTCTTGATACAGAAATTTAACGATGCCCTGGAACAGTTCTGTTTCTCAAATATTTTCTTGCTCCAAAATACCTGCAATCTTCAGGTCACTTCATGATAGGCCAACTAGCAATAAAGTTGACTGCCAATGGTTTTCTTAAAATGGGCGATCAGAACATTTATCTTGGTGGCAGTTACTTTTTGGTTTTGTATGTTTTGGAAGTGTCACATATTTAATTCATGTCATGCTATCAAATAATATGTTCCCAGCTAAACATCCTTTTTTCCCTTCTTTAGAATGAATCTTGACAAGCGCAGGAGATTTGACACTCTCTCAGGTACTTCTCATTGTGTTCCCCTAATAAAGGCCAAAGATACTTTGAAAAAAATGTCAATGGCTGAGTAATGATCTGGATGGAATTTTGAGATGTTATTTATTCACTTACATTCCAGGGGTTAATTACTAGTTCTTGCAAATTTCTATGGTGTAGCAGCTATGGTTACGTATTATCCAGGAAAGCATAGCTGGGGCTTTTTAGTTATTAATATGCTAGTATTTCGACGAGGAAATGGTGGCAGATAGCCACAAAAAACATACAATTTTCCAAAATGGCCGTTGACTACTGTTTAAAAAAAAAATCAAAAATTTGTAAAAACCTTAAAAACATTGAAAACCCAAGATTGCCCTTGTCATTTTCACTCTGAAACCGACGTTTGGAAACCCAAGATTGCCCTTGTCATTTTCACTCTGAAACCGACGTTTTGGAAAAAAAGGGAAAAAAAAAAAAAAAAAAAAAAGGAAACCGACGAGTTTTTCTTGGGAGGAGACCGACCGACCACCATTAGAAGCGAAGAAAGTAAGTTATGCATAATTTCCCCCCCCATTAATCTATGCTAAAGGTTTATTTTGTTGCAAATAGTAGTAGAAATCTTTGTAGAATATGTAAAATTAGTAAAAACTAAGTTTTTTTTAAGGTTTGTTGCAAGGGAAGAAGACGGTTGTGCCGTCTGTTTAACAGATGGCACAGCCGTCGGTGCCATTTGTGACCGTCTGTATCGTCTGTGTCGGTTAAGATGGCCCAGGCTGTCAGTTTGTTTCTGTTATTAAATTATTTTTAAATAATTATTTAATTATTATTTAAATGATAAAAGAAAAATATAAATAATGAATAAATGTTAATAATCAAAATACGCAATTAAAATTTAATTACAGATTAATTGAAAGAAAATTCTAACATTTGAAATAAATAATTAAATATTTATGTTTACTTGTTCAATAAATAATTTAAATAATCAAATAATTAAATCAAATAATTTAAATGAAAAATTGAAATGAAAAATCATTGGAATAAATAATTAATTTCTCACAAAAATAAATAATGAACATTTAAATAATAATTAAATGATTATTTAAATGATAAATAAATAAATGTTATTAATCAAAATACGCAATTAAAATTTAATTGGTACAATTTTCTATCATTTGAATTAAATAATTACGTTTGCTTGTTCAATAAATAATTTAAATAATCTTTCCATATAAGTAATTAAATCAAATAATTTAAATGAACAATTGAAACAAATAATGAAAAACAATTGGAATAAATAATTAATTGAAATGCACAATAATAAATAATGAACATTTAAATAATAATTACATGATTATTTAAATGATAAATCAATAAATGTTAATTTTGAAAATATTAATTAAAGTTTAATTGAAATAAATTTCTAACATTTAAAATGAATAATTAAATATTTACCTTTGTTTGTTCAATAAATAATTTAAATAATCGATTCATATAAGTAATTAAATCAAATAACTTAAATGAACAATTGAAACAAATAAATGAAAAATAATTGGAATAAATTATTAATTGAAACGCACAAAAATAAATAATGAACATTTAACTAATAATTAAATGATTATTTAAATGATAAATGAATAAATGTTAATAATCAAAATATTTAATTAATTTTTAATTGAAATAAATTTCTAACATTTGAAATAAATAATGAAATATTTGCGTTTGCTCTTGTTCAATAAATAATGTAAATAATCGATCAATATAAGTAATTAAATAAAATAATTTAGATGAACAATTGAAATAATTAAATGAAAAATAATTGGATAAAAATAATTAAAGTAAGTAATTAAAATGTAGATAAACAATTGAAATAAATATATAACATTTAAAATAAATAATTAAATATTCACTTAATAATTAAAATAAATATTGAATAAACAACTAAAGAAAAATATAACAAATAATTACATATTTACGTTTAAATGTTTAATAAATAATTTAAAGAAAATAAATAAATATACAATTATAATAAATAATTAAAATTAAGCATTCAATAAACAATTAAAATAAATGTTAAATAAACATATAAACAATCAAAATAAATAATTTAGATAAACAATTGAAATAAATAATGAACATTTAAATAAAAATAAACAAATTAAATAAGTAAGAAATATAAATTTTCAAAATAATTTATTTAAAAATGTAATTAAATGATTATTCAAATGATAAATAAAGAAATGTTATTAATCAAAATACGCAATTAAAATTTAATTGATACAAATTTCTAACATTTGAATTAAATAATTAAATATTTATGTTTGCTTGTTCAATAAATAATTTAAATAATCTTTCCATATAAGTAATTAAATCAAATAATAAATAAACAATCGAAATAAATAATTTAGATAAACAATTGAAATAAATAATGAACATTTAAATAAAAATAAACAAATTAAATAAGTAAGAAATATAAATTTTCAAAATAATTTATTTAAATATGTAATTAAATATAAATAATCAAATTTAATTAAATAAAGAATTGAATTACATTTCTAACATGAATTAAAATAAACTATGAAATAAAGAATTTTATAAAAATTAGTTTTTCCCTTTTTTTATAAGTTGTTATGTATTTTTTAATTCATTTTCTTTATTATCTGTTATTTCGTGCGTAAATTACTTACAGTTCGGTTAGTTGAATTTTGGGACATTATGTTTCAAATGTTCTAACATTTGAAATCTTGCAGGATGGATTACCATTTGGACGCAGCCTTGAGACAGATTCATGGCAAAGTTACGTCGAACTGTAACTTTGCATGTAACTTTGCCAGTTTCACAATAGTGTTTGATTCACTGGATGAGGAGCACACGAAGATATTACGTCGATCCTACCTATGGCCCCTGTATTCACTGCGATCTGTATAGTTCTCTGGACAGTTGATCGATTCATTACTGTGTCGTCTGCTTAAACCAGTTGATGGAGATGGCTTCCACTTTGATTTTGGGGGCAAAGTTGCTACATTTTCTATATTCGAGTTTGCTCTCATAACTGGATTGAGATGTACGGGCGAAGAGGCAGCAAGGGCCAGTATTTCAACAGACAAGAGGCTGCTGAATGATTATTTTAATAGGCATATGACAGTGACACTGGCGTAGTTAAAAGATGCATTCAGGGGATGCGACCAGATGTCCGACAAGTTGAAGTTGAGGATGATGTTTATACTAGAGAGCGTACTGAAGTGTCATCAAAGGAAGACGTCGATTGACGTTTTTCATTTGCAAGTTGTTGATGACATCGATACGTTCAACAACTATCCATGGGGAGAGAGATGCTTTTTTGATACTTTACACGTTTTCAGGAAGGGGCATTCGATGCCTAGGGGAGATAGGTCGGAGCGTAAGTACGATGTATATGGCCTGCCGTTAGTTTTGCAGGTAAATGTTTAACATAATGCGTTATCCAATTTTTTTATTAAATTGTACATATAATAATCGTAATTGTTGCAGATATGGGTCTACGAGACTGTTCCCATCCTAGCTGGTCGGTATGCGAGGAGAGGAGATACATGCATCCCTCTGATGCACCACTGGCGAGCACAAGACAATCCCCTTGCAAAACAGCTATCAGTTATCCTAGACGATCCTGAGGTACGTATTATATATGCGCTTTCTGTTGTATGTCATTTTCGAAGTTGGATACGTGGTCAGTAATTCGATGAAATGTTAATATGTCAGCTTGAAGTCCTCACTGAGCTGACACCATCGATCGAGGAGGAGGATCAGACTTATAACCGTGAGTTGTTGACAGATCGTGCTGCTCGAGAGAGGCCTGAGTCTATCATCGATCGGGACACGGTATGTTAATTGAATATAATATGTTGATTATCGTTATAATTTTTTAATGAAATTATTGATTTGTAATGTTTCTTTTTTTAGGAGCGCCGTCGACTATCACCTCCACCGAAGGTGTCACATTCCCCGAGGATGACACCTCTGCCGAGGGTGTCACCTCCGTCGAGGGTGCCACATTCCCCGAGAATGTTGCCTCCATCGAGGGTGTCCCCTTCCTACATGCGATCACCTCCGTCGAGAGTGTTACCTCCCTGCACGAGATCACCATCTCTTGCGTCCGGACACCTCCCACGTAGATCAATTGCACGTAGTCAGAGTGCTTCTATCAATGATATGTTTCGACTTATGATGGAGATTAGAGGCGACATAGCTGGCTTACGAGGCGAAGTAGCTGACTTACGACGTGATGTCGGGATGGTACAGGTCGGTTTAACAGACTTTTATGCTAAGGTCGTAACGATACGGGGCGACATAGTAGGCCTGCGTGGGATTGGCGAGTATCGGGATGGAGGGGGTGGCGAAGGGACAGACGGCTATCAGGACGGAGGGGGTGACGGAGGAACAGGTAGAGAGGATGACGGAGGGGTTGGCAACTATCGGGACGGAGGGACCAGTGGTTATTAGAGTCGAGGAGGTCAGATGGGGTATGTTGACACGTGTGGGCATCGGATGATGCATTAACTTCATATCTCGATGGCCCGATAGATATAGAGATGGAGATGGAGGATCAAGCCCTGATGGAGACGGAAGAGGAGGTCGGGAGGGTGCCGGAGGTGGAGGTCGGGAGGGTGCCGGAGGTGGAGGTCGTCAGGGTGTCAGAGGAGGAGGGGGTCAGGAAGGTGCCAAGGAGAAGGTCGTGATGGTGTTGGAAAAAGAGGGGGTGCTAGAGGAGGAGGTCGTGAGAGTATCGGAGGAGGACGAGGTACCCGAGGTGCAGGAGGAGGAGGGGGTATCCGAGGCAGAGAGGGTACCATATCAGACGCCAGACTTGCCGAATGTAGTTTTTGTGTCGGAGGGGACGAAAGAGGTGGTCCCGATGGTAGGTGAGGGAGTGTCGGATATAGGGAGGGTTTCGCGTATTGTTGATGTGCCGGAGCTGGTGGTCGGCAAGAGGCCGAGGGCACCATCACAGTACGTCGTTTCTCCATTTACCGCGGAGGCGAAAAGGAAGAGGTTCGTCGAGGGCACGCACCCAAATTTATTCAGGGAGGTGGACCATGCCAAGTGGAAAGCGTTCGAGGCGGAGTGGAGAGCACTTATGCCTGAGTAAGTATTGTATTATTCATTAAGGATTAGTACATTACGCAGATGCTGATACATCTATATTTTTACTTAACAATTTCTTTTCTAATTTTTCAGAGTCAGTCCCAGGATTGCTCATAAGACGATCTCGGAAGCTTATAAATGGTTTCACGACATCACAACTTCTGGAGGCTTGGCTCGCCGATGATGTAAGTGAAGTAATAATATTGTTATTTATTACGTATACATATTTTTGCGTTTTGCATTTATGAAATTAAATAACTCATTTTTTAATTGGTGCAGCACATTGATTTCGCCATGGATTTGCTATGAGATCGAGCTGAATGATATCCAAGATCGTTCAACATTCCCGGCCGACTCATCTTGAACACTGAGTTCATATGTGCCATTGATATTGAGTACCAGACGTTGCAAACTATGGGTAGCGAGTACACGGTAGATGGAGTGGGTCGTAGGGATGTGACCGAGTGTCGGGGGAAAGCCATGGGAGGGTTGTACGCATCTGTACATTTCAGTGTGTGTCAATCATCACTACATTGCAGTGGAGATTGTATTTGCCGACTCGACTATGTATGTGTATGACCCCAATCATTTATGCCTGACTTAAGGTCAGCTCGAGCAAAATCTGAAGTCAGCGTCTGTGATCGTCCTTATGCTGGCTGGACGAGTGAACATTACTGTGCAGGACAGACTAGCCATCGTGCGGGACACGACGACGGCGAGACAGCAAATATCATAAGTGTTTATTATTTTATTTTTGTAATTTACAACTTACGTTCTAGTTAGACAGTAATGTGCTAATACAATATTTTGTAATTGTAGGGGTGATTGCAGCATATTCGCTATCAACTACATAGAATTTTTGAGTGTAGCACAGAAGGTTGACGCAATCAACTAGGCGTGGATACAAAGTTGGAGAAATAAATTAACTTGTGATTTATTTGAATTTAATGGTGATCCGTAGATATTGAGTCGTGTTTCTTTAAAATAATTGTACATATTGTAATGTTTAAACATTGTATATTTCATTCATTTGTAATTACGAAATAATTGTAAAACATATATTATTTTTTTAATATTTAATTTTTTTTAGTTTATGTATTTATTTAAATATTTCACGACGTATTTATAATGTTTGGATATATTGTGGAGAACGTACTGAGTTTTAAAAAATGATTAACTTCAAATATTACGCAACTAATTAATGAAATATTAAATAAAAAACTAAATCTAATAATTAACATAAATAATTAACATTAAGAATATGCGTGAATAATTAATATCAATGTGATAAATAATGTTACATAAATTTCAATTATACATCTGTTACGTTTTCATGTAGAGGGATCTGACTTGTACAAAATCTTCTATTATGTCCTGTTGCACCGAACCTGCCACACTTACGAGGCAGGGAAAATTCTCCGGTCGAAGGTATTTTAGACGTACGTGTACGTCCAGGAGTAAGTGGGCCGACTGCTGGTGGCAACAAGTTATTCAATGAGAGAATCCGATCAGGAATTTCCCACTCGGCTTCATTCGGTACAGAAAATATGGTTTCGGCATATGCTGCTCTCCAAGAACCAATCATGTAATAAGCACTGCATAACGTGTGTGGTGGAATTCCTCTATACATAGCCACCGCCACTGCATGTGTACACGAAAAACTTTTCAATTGAAACTGTCTACACGTGCACGTGTTATCATTCAAGTCGACGATGTATCCGAAATTACGTGCACATTTCGTGGAGAAGCGAAACTAATCTAGTGGTTCTATATATACCTTCCTTGCCATCTCTAGACTCTTGAAGAGTTTATCTTCCTAAGCCGGCGTTAGCACATTTGTGCAACTCTGTGATTTCTCACGACGATCAAGAAACCACTGTTGCAGCTTGTCACGAATGTTCTCAAGCATTGCAAGAATTGGTAACTCTCGATCCTTCTTAAATAAGGCATTGAGCGACTTCGCATTATTCGACGTCATCATGTTGTATCGACGTCCTGGAAAATGTGATCGTGCCCAATGTTCGATCCCCATCTCTGTCAGATACTCCCATGCATCATAGGATTTACTTCCGATTTCAACCATAAACTTTTCAGACTCCTGAAAACTGTAAGCCTCTGCAGCTTTCCTAAACAACGTAACGATGCCCTTGCCTCAATATTTGATCTTCAGATTTTCTTGTATATGGTACATACAATAACCATGATGTGCCTCGGGGAAGATTTCGACGATACCGTTAATTATTGATTGCCCTCGATCGGTTATGAATGCAAAGTTCTCGACATCCCCAATTACTTCCCTCAACTTCATGAAAAACCAACGCATTGCCAAATTATTTTCTCCGTCAATTATGTCGAATGTAAGAGGGTAAATTTGGATGTTAGCATCTTGACATGTTGCAATAATCAACTTGCCCCTGTATCTCGCCTTGAGGGTTGTACCGTCGACTAGAATTAAGGGTCGCATTGCATTTCGAAATCCTCGAACGCGTTGTCTAAGGGCCATAAAGAAATACTTGAAGCGATTCTCGTTATCCTTCTTAATACAAAATGTCGATTCAGTATTAATTCTTCCCATATTATAGCAAAACCTGACCAATTAAATAAACAATAATCATAATTTAAATAATTAAATAAACAATATTAAAAAACTGAAAAATTTACAATTGAATTAAATAATTAATTACACATTAGATAAAAAATCGATACATAATTAAATAAACAATTGAAATTAATATCTGGCCAATTTAGAATAACTCTCCTCGGTCGAACCCATCAAGTCCTCCAACGCGCATTCTTTGGCCTTTCAAGCCTTTTGATAGCTCATGACCACTCCGTACTCTCGACGAACGTCATTAATAATGTCCGAAGGTCTGTAGATTATTCGTGGGTCCTGAAACTTGTGCATTACTTCTCGACCAATGAACCATGATTGGGCTTGCCTGTGAATAGGGGTGGCAAATGGCGGCTCGCAAAGACGGAGCTCGTGGACGGCTTGGGATCGTAAAAACACGAGCCTGAGCGCGAGCCAAACAGGCCGGTTTGGTCGGCTCGCACAAAAAACGAGTCGCTCGCTGTGAGCCCGGCTCGTGGGCTCGTTTTTGAAAGTGACCGAAACGGTCACTTTTCACTTTTTTTAAAAAGTGACCGTTTCGGTTACTTTATGTAATGGTGACCGTTTCGATTCTTGAATTAATTTCTTTTTTTACTGTAAAATTCAGTGACCATTTTGGTCCTTAATTTTATTTTATTTTATTTTCTTCTTCTATAAATAGTGGAATTTAGCCACAAAGTTTTCTACAATTCACTCTCAACTCTCAATTATCTTTCTCACAACTCTCTTGTATTGTGTTGATAGTTGTGCAATTTTTATATACAATTTATACAATATCCAATTCTCATTTCTCAGTTCTCACTATATTTATTGAAATTTCATCCAATTTTCATTTCTCACTACATTTATACAATTATTCTTTTACTAGTTATTACTTATTACAATTGAACAAATGGATCCACGCACATTTGTCGAAAACTTGTTCGGTGTGGGAGGAAACGAATCGCCTATGACACCACAAAGTCAATTTCAGAATCAATTTGAAGGTCTAAATGACGTACCCTTACCTGAAGATATTCTAGATTTAGATCTTTATCATCATGTAAGTGACAATCCAAATTATTCAATTAATTTAGATGATGTTGACGTTCTCGAAGCGGAACACGATCAGGAAGAAGAGACTGAATTAAACATTACTGATGCGAGGGGAAAGCGAAAGGGGAAAAAACAAGCAAAATGTTGGGATCACTTTAAGTTGATTTCAACGGGAAAAATCGTCAATGGAGTCCAAGAATCTAAAGCAATATGTAAATACTGCCAACAAAGATTGGCATGACAAAGAGGAATTGATACCATCCATCTCAACCGTTGTTACAAAGTATGTGCGGCCAAACACAAACTTATTCCAGGCTGTTAAACACAATTGCAATTTGGCAGTCCAGACGCCGGTTGTTCTGTTGCACCCCTATCCACATGGGTGTATTCGGAAGAGAAAGTTCGAACCGAAATGGTGAAACTTGTTGTTGGTGTTGAGTTGCCTTTGTTATTAATTGACAACCAACAATACGTCTCGTATGTGAAAGAATATCTACATCCAAGGTACATTGGGGTAAGTCAAAACACTCTTCGTTCCGATACAATACAATATTTTACTTCAACAAAATAACAATTAATTATGAATTTGCAAAAATATGGAGGTGTCATATCTTTAACTTCAGATATATGGAAAGGGATTAATAAAAGAGTATATATAGCTGCAACTGCACATTATATAGACTCACTTTGGTGCATGCAAAAAAAATTTAATGCTTTTAGAATTATTGAGTTTCCTCACAACACTAATAATATATTTAATGCTATTATTAGTATTGTTAGAAAATATCATTGCGAAGGTAAAATTCGTTTATTTACTTTCGATAATGCTAGTGTTAATAAAGTAGTTGCCGAAAAATTGCATAGGGTACTGCAACCTGATTTTGGTGGGTATTTGTTTCATATTCGTTGTGTATGTCATATTTTGAATTTAATTGTCCAAGATAGTTTAAAACATATAAAGAACTTCAAAATATTAGGAATGCACTAATATATATATCACAATCTCCCCAAATAGAAAACAAGCATTTGAGAATTATTGTGCCGAAATAGGAGTGTAAAATGCTAAAACATTTGTTAACGACGTAGGTCATAGGTGGAACTCTACTTACTTGTTATTAAAGTCATGTGAAGGTTTTGAATGTTTAATAACTGACTTTTATAATAATAGACATGTTAAAAGTGATGGCGATAGTATGTTGACTAAACGTGATTGACTTTTAGCTTTGAAAGTTAAAAGATTTTTGACATCTTTTTATGAAATCACTAAGATTTTATCGGGCGTTTACTATCCCACCAGCTGTATGGTGCTTGAACGTCTTTATATAATTGCAAGAAATTTTCATAAATATAGAAATGATCCTAATTTTAGTGAAATTATAATTGCTAAGGAATTAAAATTTAGAAAATATTGGGAAGATTTGTCTATGTTATTTCCTTTAGCATGTGTGATGGACCCCCGATATAATATATCGGGAACTAAATATATAATTGATCAAATTTCAAATGTCTTAACATTTAATACACCTATCACATATAGA